TACATCCTTGGATAGAATGTAGTATTTTGAGTAGAAGAAACCTTTTAAAGCTGTATTAAATGTTGAATAAACCTTTCAAACTTTAAGTGAAAGTAGCATTCTGGGTGGAATAAACCATTAAAACTATAAATACTTGACTAGAAAGTAGAATTTTGGATGCAATGAACCTTTAAAACTGTAAATCCTACAATTAAGCAATCCACATATTTGTCAGGTAGCGCTCTAGCGACAAAAAAGTTGAGAAAAAGTTTGTTCCTGAAACTGCAGCCTCCTCTGCTGCAGACACATAATATTGCCTCCGTCAGCTAAAACACTCTCAACAAAAATAAACACGTATGCAAAGATTTTAAACTTTTTCTTTACTGTCCTGTGTAGACAAGGGTTAAATTTTAACAGCGGTGCACAGGAAGTTATTTGAGCCATTTAACTGGTGATGAATTGTTCACCACTGAGTCTAGTTCAGGTGTAGATTTAAAGGATTCTGATCAGATAACGTGATAAGCGACTACAAAAGGTCATCTTAAGGTGCAGTTTTATTCAAATGGTATAGTGCCGTAGATTACAAGTGAAAGACTGAAGCAAAAACACCCCAAAAAACGCTGCTTTTCTCGATTTTATATCACTGGAAATTAAATATATCTGAATTCTGGCATTTTCTCCAAAATAAATCAATATATTATTGACAATAAAAGCAATAAAAAATGCAGCCATCAGGTCACGATCGCAGCCCAGACACCGAAATGGAAAAGGACGACGACTGAACATCTGGGGGGGAAATCCAATAAGCTTATTCAGGCATCAGCAGAACAAGACAGATGCTCAATTTGGAAAATCAATGCAAAACTTGCTACACCACGCTCTCACATGGCCGACGCAGCCCACACCATGTCCCCGTATCGACGTCTTCGCCAAGAAGGAAAATATGCTGAGTGGCGGCAGGTAGTAGTTCAGAGAGGGAAGGAGGAAAATCAAAGAATTATCAGTTCCCCTCGCTGTAAGGTCGCCGCAGAAGCAATCGAAGGAACTCCACACTCCAGCTCCATGTTGAAAAAACAGCTGAGCACACGGTCCATCCAGGCCTCCCCCCTCTTGCCCTTTCACTCCAGATGGAATTTGACTCTCCCTCCTGAGCTCTTTTTAATCTCTTGCCCGAGACGCTCACACCACCTTATGGATTTAAGATGAACAAACTGGAGGAGGGGTGAGTTTGGTTGGTCCAAATGCAGCTAATGTTAGCGCAGCTTCCCACTATGTGTTCTCAACTTTTCTAAATAACATCAAGTGCTTCACGTGTAAACCTGAGATCCTGGAATTTCATGATCTACTTCAGCCAGTTATCGATTACCTTTTATTTTACTGTATAGTTTGACTTTTCTGCTGCTGCTGTACTCGGTGTCCTCCTGACACAGGTTCGTGGAAACATCTCTGCTAGATGGGTATTGGTCTCACAGTGAACTTAATCTGCATCCCACCACCTTCTAATAAAACTAAAAGTATGTGGATATGTCTTGTATCAAACACTTTTCTTTAAACTCATCCAAACTGAAAATGCTTCCACGTACTGTATCATCTGATAACTGCTGAAGAACTGCTTTGTGTACAGTCACACCGAGTTGGCAAACGCCGACTTAAGTGATAAGAGCAGCAGGATGTTATCGCTGTAATGTTTGTGTGTGATTAACTTGGACACTTTCAGAATAAAATGAAGTGGATTTGTGTGCACCGGTAAAACAAAAGCATCAAATCTCATGAGCATCAGTTTACAGCACAATCACGGAGCTGATCAGAGGTGACTTCTACAGAGTCCCCCGCCTGCTTCAGTGCATCGAAAACGCTCAGAGGAGTAAGAGCATTTGATTTTGTGATTCGAGAAATTAAGGCCGTTTCTGTTTGGTCGTCAGTCCAGCTGTCTGGAAACATATCCCTCAGTGCTCTCCACGTCTCCCTCACTTCAGCTCTGACCCTCTGTCGACAAACCGTCCTCTTCGTTTCTCTTCAACGCGCTCTCCCCGCTCGAGCTGCCGCCGGTGTTTGTGTCCGAGGTTCAGAGGTGTGCCGCCGGTGTCTCTGGGTTAGTCTTGCTCCGACCTTTCCCAGCTATTGGCCGGTCTCTCTCCTCCCACAGCGTGACCCCGTCGCAGGCACAAATCTGTTTGGGATTTTGGAAGAGGCCTGCTGATCGGGCGATGATCCCACAGGCCAACCTGCAGGCAAGAGAGCAGAAAATTAGAAAGCGTGTCGACAGTAATGAAGATAAAATCACCTCCAGACAACCAATTTTGTAAGATAGAGTGCATTATTTATACACTATTTTAAATATATGAAGCATCTGAATATATTCTTGACATTTGAAGTTGACCCAACAATCCCAACTCAAACTCTGTATACACATTGTTCAACTTTTTAAAATTATCTTTTACATTTTAAAGTCAACGTGAGTTTATCCTCTCGTTAAAAAAGACTGTTGATCTCAACAGGACGTCTTGGTAAAACGAAGGTTAGGAAGAAGAACTACTTTTTAAATTATCTACAGATCTGTAAACCTTGTGTAAACGGTTGTATATACTTGTTTTCATCGGGAAAAAAATCAACCACTTACTTGCTCAATCAAGCAATGGTATAAAGCCTGCTCATGAGAAATTACACTGAAGGGATTACTGGCACAGAACAGGGCCGTGTAGAGCGGAAATGATAAGCAGATTAATCAATTAGTGAAAAAAGCAAAAGCAACAATGTGCTGGTTCCATATTGTGATGCTGGTTAACAGTATACTGAATGAGAATGGGTTTTGGACATCAAGGCTTTCAAGACTAATTAATCAGTTGATCAAAAAAATAATAGGCAGTATAATCACTAATTAAACAGCCCATAATGACCATAACATTGTGGTGATAGTAACATGGATTCATTACAACATGGCTATTAATGTTAAATGCACCACACTGCATGGTGATAATGTCTTCATTCCTCTGTTATAGAAGCTATAATAACCCATAATCAAGACAACAGAAGGTGAGTGAACAAGTCTGACGCAACATCACCACAAACTACAGGCCAGACAGTTATCATGAGTGAAGGGACTCGAGCTAATAATGGATTGTTTGTATTAAATGTACTGAAAAGTGTTGTTAAGTCCATGTGCTGCAAAAATGAATGAATCCATGAACACCAAACTCTTATCTCCTATTTTATTTTCTATCTCTAACATGAGGCTCCTTCACACCCACCTGTCACCAGAGTTTCCCGTCTGTTTGGAGAGAGGGTGGCCGCCTTGCCCCAGATCGTCCTCCCCTGCATCCACCACCAGGGATCGACCAATCACATCCCAGACCTGCAGCAGGGGGACCAAAATATGCTGTTAAGCTCCATTGGCTGTGGCTTACTACTGGTGCTGAATGTGTCTGTGGGCCTGTTTACAGCAGGCATTGCTTCTTGAGGGATCCACTCTGAGTATCAGTGACCAACACGGACTGAGGATGTACTGAGCTCTGATTGGCTACATCAGGACCACATTCTTTCAGCAGTGTGTACATGAATTTGACCTGTGTTAGCAGAAGTACAGACTTATTTGTGCACCAGTGGCACGACATGAACCCTACAAACCTGAAAAATCTATCAGTTGGTTTGAGGGTGATGTTATCTTTTAAAAGAAAAAAAAAACAACACAAAAGTTACACCATTTATTAAGGCCAGAAACTGCAAAACAGAAAGAAGTGGTGGATTTTTAACCGTACAGTGGTTCTTCAACGACTTAGCTGTGATGCATCATTTTGTGATAGTTCAGCAAAAACACAAGAACTAAGTTAGGAAAAAATCCAGCGTTTAATTATTATGACCATGAGGCCAGTTGGTTTACAAAAACATCTCATGTTATCGGAAATGAAAACTGAGAACATCATGAATGATGATTCCATCTTTTTGACATCATTAAATGTCACATGCAAGGATTTAGCAGAAATAAACAGTTTGCACCAGATTCTGTGAATAGCTAAAGATTCTTCTGCACAACTGTGAAGCCGTAAATGATTAAACTGTGACCAACAGTCGTGGCTGAACTGCAGGCTGTGTTTACACAGAGCAGATAAGAGACAAGTATGGGAACAAAAGAAACTTAAAAAAAAGAAAAGTGTGTTTGTCGAGCAACTCTTTTTGTTCAGTATTCGTTACAGTTGTGGGCACAACAGTCCAAGTTTTAAGTATGAATTGTGGCATTATAAGTGAGTCATATTACACACATGAGATTTTGGAGCCGTCTACGAACTGCTTGAGGCTGAGAGTTAAAGTCTGACAGATTCTATCCCCAGATGTGAACTGACATACGTATCGCTGTCCAATTGTGATCAGATCACCCAAGACGCATGTTAGTGTCAGGTGTGAGCAGGGCCTGTGTGTTTGTGTTACCTTAAGCTGACTGTCCTCCAGTCTAAATGAGGCTCTGCCATCTGGTCCAGCGACGATATTTCCCAGATCACCTACATGCTGCATAACAAAACAGCACATGAAAAAGATGGTCAACCCACAACACAAACACTGAAAAAACACAGAACAATAAAAAATAAATATACAAGAAGTACACCGCATGGAAGCCAGGAAACTCCAGAGCTGCAGCACTTTCACACTCTTTACTGAAAATTTAGCACCTGGAGCAGAACAGCTCAAAATGGCTCCTGCGGGACTGTTCTGGCAGCCTGAGAGGGATATCACTTCATGTGTTTGGCTCCTACTGCACTCAGGAGGGGTTCTGTCAGAGTTTATGATACGAGGATCTGTTCTTTTCTTTATGTTCTGATTTTCTAACTCCAAATATTCAGGCCCAGCTGATCTACAGTATCACGCATGTAGACTTTAAACCTTTAGAAATGAGTGATCATGTGGAGAGTTAATTAATAGAGGAAGAGACTTGTACCCTTTCAGAGTCCTCTGGACCGCCGTGTCGTCGCCCAAAGGGGTTGAAATGCTCTCCACAACTGCAGAAAAAAGAAAAAAGATTAATTTAATCAAACATACGGAAAACAAGTTAGTTTGTGATGCTATTTAGGATAACATTTAGCAGGTACGTTTAATTGTGGGGGCTGTCGGTGTGTCATGTACAGCGAGTTGAGTAGAAAGGTGTTTTTTTTCTAAGACGTGGGTGAGCAAAACCTCTGCTCGTTTAATCATCAGTACATGTGTGTTCCAAAAAATGTGTTTACGATGTGATGTTTTTCATTTTTAACCCCTTTCTGCTTAAATTTCTATCTATCTGCCTCTATCCCAACATATTAAAATGTCAGGAAATAAAATGAAAGTAAGGCCATGAATAAATGATTTTATCCTTGACAAGTGGAAAAAAATATTTGTTAAAAAGTCAAAGGCACATAAAAAAAATAAATAAACGAGAAGTTAACTACGGCTCTCAAGATGCATTTCATTTCTGGAATACTGAGCTCAAAATTCTGTTACTCTCACCACTAATTGCAAGTGGCAGCTTAAAAATAGACTAGTAGCAAAATAAATACGGGGATTTTCTTGCATAAAGGCATTTTTGGCGCTCCCCCCAAAGACAGACAGCGCCGAAATGACAGGATTTAAAAGCAAAAAGTATATTTATTTGTTTTCTAACCAGTTTTGTGATTTGGGGTTTCATTTATTCATGCATAAGATACATTTTTCTTCATAATACTGTTGGAAACATCAATAATAATCATAGCTTTGTGTCAAATACGGCAACACAGACTGACTGTCTTTACTGTATGAAGACCGATCGTGTTTTTACTTTTAAATTCTCCATCAGTTCACATGAATACAGCAACTACAGCAAAGCGGTTTTCATTAAAACAGCTACTGCAGCTCTGATTCGTGCCTTCTCCTCCTCAGCAACAGAAGCCGAGGCTCATGGGTATTACAGTATACATTATTCCTAAGGGACAAAGCTGAAATAATCAAAGCTGATGGCCGTGACACAAACCTGCGAGTGCATGCGGCACAGTTTTAAAGGCTATAATTGGAGCAGCCTTTGATCTCTATACCATAAATGCTGTCATTTTTTGTGTGATTACAGTATCATATGCATATGTAGGCCAAGATACGGCGCATTTCTTTTTGACGCTTGCTGCATATAAAGCCTCCTGAGCCAAAGGTAGAGAAACACAGCACATCTTCCCTGTGGATGCTCATGTTAAGCAGCCCAGACTGTCTATCGCTCTCCTTCTCAACAGGGACACTCTTGCCTGATGAATTTCTGATGTTACAACAGTCCCACCTGAGGCAATCTAGTGTGAGATCCCCCAGGGTGTGGACATGGAGGCCGTGGGGCCCGGGCTCCAACCCATCAATGGTCCCATCAATCAGACAACGCTCTTCGGACAGCTGCAGGAAACGCACCACCCCCTGAATCGATCCCACACCCGCCAGCATGGCCACGGCTGCACCCAGGTCTGTCATCGAAATACACACATTTGTAATTTGTATGCATACACACACACACACACACACACACATATATATATATATAAAAATGCATCCAGACTGTGATTCGACCTGATAAAGACAGACCAGGATTCACATATGGAATAAGAATGCTTTCCAAATTCATCTCGGCTGACTGCCTGTGATCACATTATGTTCCCAATTTCACATTCGATTTTCTCTGTGGGCTAAGTGTGAGCGGAACATAAAAAATATGCAGACATATAGCGAGAGAGGCAGAGTGTGGGGAGCTATTTTTACACACAGACTTCAAATCCTTGTCTGTCAGGCAGGGCCGATTCAACCATATCACACTGTGTTTGAGGGATTAGCCGTGCTTGACATGTTCTACAAAGTTGGCTTTGCTCTTCTCCAATGTGGTCAGGAGCGCATTTGCATTCACATTACACACCGGATCACCTACAGTACGTCTTTGAGCACCTTTAAATCCCATTGCGCCCTAAATAAGTGCAATTACATCTTTATTTAGAGCTGTCAACCCATGATTGGATCCCTAGGGTGCATTTTATTGACATGTGTGACAGGCACCAGTGTCTTAATAAATGAAGCTGCATTTAAGCCCTAATTATGAAGCACTTTGGCGCATCAGGAAGCTCAATAGCAGCAACTTTAGTAGCCTATTAAAAAAAATGAGTTAATAATCATTTATCAAAATGCTGATTGCATAATTACATACTCTATTGTGCTTAAACCAGTCAGACATAAGAGGCTGAATGGAGAAGAGGCTTCTTGTTTCCTAAAGATGAAACCACAGACAAGTTTTGTTTGGAGCTACTTACAGTCAGAGTGTATTTTAATGTACTGCACCTGTGGCTCTGGTGGTAGAGCGAGTCGGAAGGTTGGCGGTTCAATTCCGCCCTATAACCTGTGTCATGATCGTTGTGTTCTTAAGCAAGACACTTCACCCACCTCGCCTGGTGTGAATGCGTATGAATGGATTGTTTGAGGTGGTGGTCAGAGGGGCAGAATGGCAGCCACGCCTCTGTCAGTCTGCCCCAGGGCAACTGTGGCTATCATTGTAGCTACCACCACTGGAATGAATGTGTGTGACTGAATAATTGACAGTGTAAAGCGACTCTGAGTGTCTAGAAAAGCCCTATATAAATCTGATCAATTATTATTATTATAATTCATATGGTAAAAACCTTTTTAAATAAGGCTACAAATGTGACCAGACCTTTAGTACTCACCTCGCTCTGATCCCCCGATGCCCTTCAGCACCGCCCTGCGTCCGGTGCTCTCGATCAGAGCCTGCACTTCTGCACTGGTGAGGGCAGATTCCACCAGCACCGCCTCCCTACTGACATCAATACTGACCGACTTCACTCCTGCACACACCAGTGGGCATTATGATCAGACGAAGGAGTGACACACACACACACACACAGTGATGAGGACAAAGTGATCAAATGTAAAACAATGCACAAAAATGTGCTGCTTTTCTTTGATTTCTATCACTGCTAATTAAATAACTGTCTTTTTTCTTTTCCATGGGTTTTTCACGGGGAGCAATATTTAGAACATGTGCATTTGCCATCCAAATACAAACATGAAAGAAAAACCGCTACAGCATTACTCACAGACGCGAGAGCGCCTCTGACAGCGGTGGGTCTTTTTTCTGATTATAAATGTGAATAACAAACTCATAGACCCACTAAATCCTTACTGGCAAGCATAAGTATGCTAACCACACACACACACACACACACACACACACACACACACACACACACACACACACTGTGTTGTGATGTAGTCAGCAGCAGCACAGCATGTCCTCCTCTCCTCCGGTGCTGCGCGCTGTACGCAGGCAGGTTGATAACCAGTCTGATGTTAGGACAGTTCTTCTCAGAATCTCTCTAGTAAGCAGTGAAGCATTCTGAAATGTTTTCACGTTCACTTTTATAAGTATTAGACTTGTTTTGCAGAATTCTATCGCGTCTTTAACGAGGTCTCATTCTCTAATTGATCTGATGAGTGTTCTAATTGGTTGTGGTTTCTGTTGAGATGTTCATGATAGCTAAGAATTCTCTTAAAATACAGATATATGTGCTGGATCCTGAATGAGCAGGAATACTGCAGAAACACACGAGAGATTAAAGTCCAGGGGTTCACAGATTAATTAAAACTGATGATGATTGATGCGATGTAAAAAAGGTTGGTCCCTCAAACAAAAGCAGACAGAAGAGTAAACATTGCTGATATGTGTGTTGACATAGCAGGGACAATAGTAAATGAGGAAAGTTGATCTACAGGAGAAACATATTTGGAAGTTCTGCATAATGCCTCAGAGCCTTTGTACTGTAACCTGTTGTATGAATGTTGTGTTTCACCATAAATTGATGCAGAAAACAGACAAATTAGTGCATAAAAGATCCCCAGAATGCAAGAAATTAAGTATTTGATGGTCCACATTACCTAATGGAGAACCCCCCGACCCCCTGCATACATGTCCACCCCGACATGTTCGAATGAAGTCTGCACACACGTACCTGCTGTTTTTGATGAGCTCTGAGACGTCCTAATAATTTCTTGAGAGTTTAGTGAAAGCAGCTATAAGCTGTGGTTTACAAGTTTTGTTCACTGTGCTGAGGTTAAAAGCATTTTTTATTCATTTTCTGCATGAATTAATCAGAAAAAAATGCTCCACTGACACCCACGTAAACACTCAATCATGATTTCTTGCAGGCTGGAACCATTATGCTTCATATATTCATATATTAATTCATTCATATTCATTCACATACGACTGCTTGCTCTAAGTTACAGGATCTCAGCTAGAAATAAACCAATCAATTAGGCGGTTTAAATTACATTTTAACATAATCAGCATCGGCAAATTAGTGACTCAACATCATCCAACAATGAATAAGTTAGTTGTCAACTTTTATTATTCACCAGCTATAATGATGATGGATGAATCGGGTTAGAGAATTTATTTATTTTTTCTAAGGCAAAACTCTGATTCTAGCTTCTTAAATTTGAGCTTTTTTTCTGGTTTCTTAATCCTCTATGACACATTAATCAAATGAATAATTAATCAAAACTGAATCGACAGATTAATTGGAAGAGAAAATAACAGTTAGTTGCAACCAGAATCATGTGTACCAGCGACTGGGGCCTGCACTGCTGCTGCAGCTAATGGGTTATTTTCCATTGTGCAAATGAGCAAAGAAAAATCCATAAACCACAGTTGAGCACAATGACACACAAAAGGCTTACCACAATGTCTGACAGTGTGTTCACCAGAGCACTGGTAGGACACGCTGCTACTGCTCTTAAGTGCACTAAAACATGTTTTGTTTTTTTTTCTTGTTGTTGGATTTTATTTATTTTTTACAAGTCTAGTTTTGCCTCGCAGCAAGAAGGGATCTTTCTGTGTGGAGTTTGCATGTTCTCCCCGTGCAGCGTGGGTTCTCTCCGGGTTCTCCGGCTTCCTCCCACACAGTCCAAAAACATGTTGAGGTTAATTGGTGATTCTAAATTGTCCGTATGTGTGAATGTGAGTGTGCTTGGTTGTCTGTCTCTAAGTGTAGCCCTGTGATAGACTGGTGACCTGTCCAGGGTGTCCCCTGCCTTCACCCTGAGTCAGCTGGGATAGACTCCAGCTCCCCATGACCCTAGTGAGGATTAAGTGTTGTATAGATAATAGATGGATGGATGGAAGTCTAGTTTTTTAATTACCATGTTGTATTTATTTATTTATTTATTTATTTGAAATATCTTTTACGAGAACAAAACTACACTGCAGATCCACTCAAGGGACCTTAACTTTAGCATTTTTGTGTCTCATTTGTGGTTGTCATTAAACTGTTGTATGTCATCAGCTGTACAAAACACAACATGACAATATTACCATTGTCATTGGTCATTAAATAATCAATACTGGTTGACCACTCAACTCAGCATTCAGTTGAAATGAGTTAAGTGTACTGTTTCGGTTTATAATTTGTGCCAAATTACACAGTGAGTGACTTGGGGAAACATTTTAGAAATGTCTTTTGCTTTTTTGTTTTTTAAAGTCCATGTTTCTGGACTCATGATATTCATTTTATTCTGCTTTTACTTGATGTATGCATATATTTATTTGTTCTATCTATTAACTGGATTTTCCTTGTGTGTGTCTGCTTGTGTTGGGTGAATAGCCCAAGACAAACTTCCCACACTTGGGACAATAAAGCTGGATCTTGAATCTTAACACAAGTGTTTTTGTATTTTAATGAAACTCTTTTCAACATATTACCTGTTGCTTTCTGTATTTGAATGTAAAAGAGTACTGCGATTTCACTCAAAATACACCGTGTGAGACTATCCCAGAGCGTAAATAACTCGTGTAGAACAAACTGGAATGTATGAACAGAGGTCACAACAAACAAGAGGCAGATCTGCTGAGTCATGCTCCGTTGCTGTGTCACACAACACCAATTAGAGCACTTTCTGACAATCACAAGTCACTGTTTCAGAGGATGTAAACATTCATTAACGGACAGCAGCAACCAGACAGATGCTTTTCCAGAGCTGATGACTGCATGTTAAACTCTTCCTCACCTGGTTTTCCTTCCAGAGCAGCTCTGACTTTCTGCGCACAGCTTTCACATGTCATCTGAACTGCAAACTCCAGCTGTGGAGGAGAGAGAGCTCACATTAAACACCTGTAGCTGATGGATTCGTGTAAAATATCTGTAACGGTGGCGAGTAAAGCTGGTCCGTTATCTAACTGCGCAGTGGGCTGACACTGAGGTTAATCATTCTATCTTTCACAGTCACACAGCATCACAACAGCAGCTAAATAAGTGGCGTTTCTGTTTTCATATTGTTATTCCGGTAAAATTATGTCGCGACACGACAAAAAAAGACTTTAAAACGTGACTAAGTTGACTGTCAAACCTTCGTTGGTCTCTCCGAGTCCATTTTGCTGCCGCACGTCGCCGCCTGAACGATAAATGCCGATTTAAACAGAAAACTTCCCAGTTTTCTAGAAGCGGAAGCGAACCTACTGTACTTGCTAACGGCCGCCGCCATGTTTGTGAGGTCAGAGTGACGTTGACGCACGCCACCGCCGCCAAGTGTCGAGCACGTGTTACTGCAGCTTCCGGTTCGTCTCATATAGAAGAGTCTGGTGGCTTCAGGAGTTCATTTGAGGAAAAAAAATGGTATTATTTCTTTACTCAAATCCTCACAAATAAAAGTACGGATGCGGAATGTCACTGAGTAAAAGTAATAAAAAATAAATACTAAAAAGATTTTTGCAAATAAACCAAAAATTAAAATGAAGCCTATTCATGCAGCACAGTCACCCTGTTAGTGTTGTACATCATAGTGTTTGTTGCACTAATTTGTTAATGTGGAACTAATTTGATCTTTTCTGTGTAGGCTGATCAATATGCCTCATTTTGTATAAGTTGATCATATCCATTACAGAATGTTTAAAAGCAGAATCTGCAAAGCAACTGGCGAATATAGCAAATTAATAATAATTTAAAAAAATGAAATATTTGCTTCTGAAGTATGAAGTAGCATGAAATCGATCTACTAATGTATGGTACAAGTACCTCATATGTGGGTATAGATTTTGTTTGAACACTGGAAGGGAATCAAGCCCAGGGAAACTTTATTTTCTGCATTCTGGTGATTTTTTCCGAATGAACAATACAGAATAGGCCCAAATTTTTGCATAAAAATCAACCAAAATGAAGGAAATTAAAGTGTTTGATGTTCAAACTTTTCTAACGGTAGTACATCGCTGCTAGTACTTTTCCAGTACATCGATTCCTAGTTACTTTACACAAGTGGGGATGAAAAATATGCGACAATACTAATAATCAAATCCTAAAAAACTGTAGGAACAAGGGAGGAATCTGACCCGTTCACTTTTTTTTAATCTAAAAATGTTCTAAACAGGTGATAGACAGGAAATATGTTTTGATTTGCTTTTTTAAAAATCTGTAAAATTTTCAAAACTACAAAGACAATACAACATAACGATGTCAACATTAACAGATATCGGTCCTGATTATTGGACTGGACAAGGATGGGCAGTGATAACATTTTAATTATGCATTTTTTAAGTTTGCATAATGATCCCAGTATGTAGCGTTGTTTTCTTATTTTTTGTGTTATTTCTAGTTTTGCCGTTTTATATATAGTCATATTTACACAACAATCCATCATTGCCACAAACTGAAGGTTGTAGCTACCCACAATACAGCAGGAGATATTTAGTTTCCTCTGTGTTCTGTGTTTCCTGCGCTACTTCCACAATCTCATGTTTATATCATCATACCAGTCTCTGAAAGCTGATGTTTTTTTATTGCATTGTGAAATGAATAGAAAACAATGGCTGCTGTGAGTCACGCTCAATGACAATGTAAAGTAAGCATGTAAAAAGTAATGCTGTGGGTGCAAGACAAGGGCCAACTCCAGAAACACTGCAGAGTATTTATGTATAATACAGGAACAGCATGCAATGCTTGTTTATTAGGGTCAGATGGTGGGAGGAGGGGGATGTCTGGACGCAGAAGATTGTAGCTTATGGATAAAACTAAACCACCGTGAAGGCTGTAGGCTGTAATGATGATTGCTTCCTGCAGTATGTGGTGGCCTCCTGTTCAATTTCATAAAGTGTATAGATTATTGTTACAGAGTCGATCTGCAGATTAAGTCGCTGCGTTCGCTATAGGAAAGACCAGTAAGCGGATGACTGCTTCCCAGGTTTTTAGAGGCTCAGAAGAAGCCAGAATATGTTTGTGTGCTTATGTCTGCCTGTGCCTATACATCCCTGTCGTATGTCTTCCACTCTGATAGCACAGATAAGCCACGGGAGAAAGCAGGTGACCGTGATGTGGCGTAAAATCTGGGTCACAAGTCTAAAATAAAAGCTTCTAAATCCAACTTCCTCCAACTAAATTTGGGTTGATAAGATAGACAGTGACACATATTTGGCACGTGCGCTCATCTACCGTGCGTGTCGATCCAGAAACGCTGCCATCATTACATCAAAACAACACCAAGAGGCCGATGTTGTGTACAGAAGAAAGTCGAGTGGCGGCTCGGCTGGAACACAGCTTCTTCTGTATCTGGTGGCTCATTGGCTTTGACCTCTGACCCGGCGCTGAGTAATATGACCACGGGCTTTAAGAGGGCTGAGCCACTGTGCGCCAGGCTCAAAACACATAAGCGCTCCCTTCTATGTGTGTGCTGAGCAGCCCCCTTTTTCTTTCAGCCTCATACACGCCGCCCACACAGCAGCGCTTAATTTATGCAGTAAATGGGAAACTGCTTAAAACCTTTGCCCTTATTTTGATCCTCAGCACTGAGCTTTCTGTTCAAAGGGGTGGAGGGAGGTGACACCTGAGCCCAGGGGAGGGGGCATTTCATTAACACCCACATACAGAAACACGCACAACAGAGCCAGAAAGCGGCATGAAACCCAATCACGGCTCGAACAACGTCCACAGCAGATTCAGGGAGAGGAACAAAGGAAGGAGGAAGAGATGAGAACGACGTGAAGGCGTGATGGGGAGAAAAAGTGGAAGGAGCAAAGCGAGAAAAAGAAAGAAGAGACAGGAGGAGGACTGAGCAAATGAGAGAGGACAGCAAAAGAAAGAAGTTGACAAAGAGGAGTGTGTGAATGTGTGTGTGTGTGTTGGGAGGGCAGTGTAAAGCAGCGCTGACAGGAAGTGTTGACAGACCTGTTCAGAACAGTAGAGGTTTTATCTGTACTAATAAATGAGGCACTATATTCCGAGCTCCTCCGCCCCATTAGAACTGACCTGGAGCCTGTTATATTTTCTTATTAAATACTTGAAGAGGGTGAAGCAGCTCTTGTTTCAGTGACCAGTGCAAGGAAGCAAAGCAAGCAAAACGTTATTTTTAGAGCTGGGAAGATACAGTGTCGTCCACAGAGAAGCGCAAAAGACTGAAATACGCACGTCATGCAGCAACGCAAACAATCAAGTCTGATTGCAAATACAGATGCAAGAACACATCGGCAACATGACGGAGCTAATCAGAGGCTCAGGAGAAAAGGAATGTTTTCGGCCTGCGTTGTTGGAGCACATTTGATGCATCTCGGCAGATTACTCGAGCAGCTATAGCAACGTAAAAGCAACACTGGTGTAACCAGACAGCCTTTGCTGGATGATGCATAAAAAAAAAGTTCATGTCAGATTATTTAAAATGTGACAGCAGTTCAAGTTTCCTAAATGCTGTCGTATAAATATTTTAAGATTTCCCATGAACTCTGGAGGAGCTACTCAGCGGCCACTCTTGGTGTCCTGCTCACAGGAAGTCAAAGGAATCGCTGGATTTGTCGGGTTTTCCTCGAACATCATAACTTAAGTTCTACATTAGTCATTAATCTCCAAAAATAATAATCCTCAATGTCAACATTTAAATTATTTAGGTTAATCTCCATAATCTATCATAAATATTGAGGTTAATACAGTACGACAGTATTAGTGTAGAACTGTATTGATGTATATCTGTTGTCGGGTAAAGTTCAATTTATCTAATCTTTTGTTTTATCTTTAAAACTGACATTACTCAGGTAGAGTCACACCATGAAAAAAAGTGCAAAATCTAACCTCAATATTTAAACTTGTTAGGTTAATTCATATTGCCAGTCTTGTCTTTCTATTGGATGGTTCTTAACTGCATCCTTTAAATGTGTTATTTGACTAACAGTGACTTGACTTAACGTGTCTTCAAAGTCTGAACGAACTTTAAATTTCAGCTTTTAATCCATCTTTAACTAGAAACCCTGAAAACTGCAATAACTTTTTTAAACTGTTTTGGCCACAGAAAGCAGCAAGAAGTTGTGAACCATACACGTCACCAATTGGTTTCCTGAATAGCTGTTTTAAAGCTCAGTGTGGTGCTTCAACGTCTCAGCAGTGCCTGAATCTGCCTAACTCCCAGGTAATGCAAAATCCAAAATCCAGACCGACATTTGTGGTGCCAGGCTGTGAACATGTTTATTTCTGCTGTAGGTTTGGACAGTTTACCACCTCAAGTACTCAATTGAGGTTTTTTGAATGCATTTTCCATTCACGGAGCCCAAACACAGTGGGAAGTTTCAAATTCTCCAGACATATTGCACGATGTCCACTGTGCTCAATACATCTCAGGAATAATCACATTGACGGAGTGCGACAGCCGAATCGGTAACTAGCTGCTCTATCCTGTGAGTGTGCAGCCAGCCTTTCAGAAACATCCACTGGAGCCCTGTGTGTTTCTCTGTGTTCGATAAAATGGGGGAAATGCGACCATCTGTATTGCTGTCTGATGCATATCCTATTTTATGGAGGCATGTGCATCCACTGTCAAACTATGAATTGGCCTTTAGCCCGAAGCCACCATGACCCAACTGTGGGTAAGCAGAAGAAAATACATGGATGGATAAATGGATGGATGGGTAGAGTTTTGTTGGCCAGTGGAACAAACACAGACTTCCACTTCTCTTCTGCATTAAACATTAAAAACGAGTTGGTTCACTGACAACAAAACTGTAAAGGAGTTAGTACAGTTGGTTTCTAGTGACAAATCGGCCCATGCATGTTTGCTTTATTGTCCACAAATATGGAAATTGCTTAGCTCGAATGCGGCTCACTATCTTTTACTGTCAATAACCAAAAAGGTTTTAAAGAGTTACTGCTTTCAGGTAAAAACTTCACATCTCTACACTGAGCTAAGAAGTGGCGCTCTGTTATTTTCAGCTTATCGGTTGAGCAATTTTGAGTCCGAGAACAAGTTTTGAAGAGGCTTTATAAGCCTTAATTAGCAATGTACATTAACTTTGCTCACCCACACAAGAGCATTTGATCCATTAAGTAATATTAACCTCTTAACACTCAGCAGCCTGATTATAAGGCCGAGTGAAAATGCGGCTGCTGTATTTTGAGTGGCATCGGCCCCAATTATACGCCGTTTAAAAGCACAAAGCCCCATGATTCAGTGTTACGGGTGTGATAAAAATACAGAGCACGGCAACAACAGCAGCTGCAGTCGTTCTCTACTTTGTA